TCGAGTTATCGTTTTTTTTTTCTCTTCATTTTTTCGTTTTTTTCTTTTCTTCGTTTTTTTTCTCCATTCTTCTGGCACCTCTTTCTTTCACCTCTTTTTTCTTCTTTCTACCTGAAAGATCTAGAAAGTGAAAAAGAACGAGAAGAAACGTTTTTTACTTTAATTTCTACCTCATTTTTCTCTCTTTTTACTTCTTTTTCTTTTTCTTTCTTTTTTTTCCCTGTCATCCTGCACCCCCCCCCCTTTTCATTTCGCTTCTTAAATGTCTATTCCTCATTTTTCATACTTTTAAACAGCTCTCCCCCACTTTTTTTTTTTTGGTTTTTTGCTATCATATTCCCCTTGATCTCACTTTTACATTTTTCGCTTCTTCTGCTTCAACATTCCAAACACCATCGGCCCGTTTCCAAAATAAACTTTCTGACCCTTATTCCCCACCCAACCCCTACACCTAACATTCCAGTAGCCAGCCAATGATACACAAGATGATTATAACTAAATAAAACTTAGCCCCAAGATATCTATCACACGTCTAACGCCAAATAACCGGGCTAAGGAACGGAGCATCACCTGCCCGCACTTTACTAGATCATTTTCATTCCTCTAGGTATGAAACACATTTCTTCTCTATTCATACTTACTTAACTCAAAAGCCAAACCGATTTCTTCTTCTTAATTCCCTTTCATAATGAGTGATCATGGCTCTTCACAGTGTCCGGGCTTTTGTTGTTTTAAGTGCGTGTTGGACCATCACTTATCCCTTATTTGTCTTTTCCGCCGTCATTTCACTTCATCTTTTATTATATACTACGGCTCTTCAGGACGTAGGTTAACATGGTTCTCCACAACGTCTTATTTTTAAGAAATACCGTAGTCCACTGCTATTATGCGAACCAGTTTATCGTGGTATCCGATGTACCGCGGGTGGGTGGTGGACCCCAAAATTTTGCTCTCATACCCTCAATATCGATCACTTTTTCCAGAAATTCTACCCTATTTTACCAATTTCTCTTTCACGACAGACAGAAGAGACAGCGATCATTAAATGTGTCCTAATTTAGTTTATTAATTACACCCCTTTATCACACGTCTTGCTTTGATTTTGATAATCAAACAGCGTAAATTTTGCGAAAAAATTTAAGACATCGGCCGTTTCACACCTAATCCAGTTGTATTGGTAATAAATACACATGATAACTTTTATATTTCTATTATGTGCGTGACCAAAGAAGTCCCTATAATCTCTATTTATAAAAGGCAGGATATATGTGTGTGTGTGTGTGTGTGTGTGTGTGTGTGTGTGTGTGTGTGTGTGTGTGTGTGTGTGTGTGTGTGCAGCAATTTTCGACGGATTTGCACCAAAATTTACATACACATGCTCCAAGTTAGCGGGAAGTCCAAAACCGACTTTGCATTTCCCAACTCTTATCGATAGTGGAAATAACCGATTTTTTTCATGCTTCTACGCCAGTTTTCATGTAATTTGCGGCCATTTTCTACCGGCCAGAGTGAGAGCCTATAGCTGGCTGCCACGAATAGACAGGAAGATTCTATTGGCCAGCGTGAGAGCCAACAGCAGACTGACACGAATGTTAACTAGCATGCTATCATGCAAAAAATCGATAGCTGCATTCGTCACAAGTGGGAAAATTTAAATCTGCAAGGCACTTTACTCCAATTGGCTCATTCGCTTGCTTAAACTCAACGTTGATTCTGATTCCGCAAAACTGGGTTGGGTGTGAAAAGTATTTGTGGTTGGATCTTTTTTCATTCGGTTTTCCAGTTACGAGTCCTTTTTTAAAGCTGATCGTTTTGTGTTCATTTTGTTTAGTTCTTTTTTTCGTAACAGATTTAATGTTTAGTATAGAGCTTCGAAAAGAATTCGCAGTGTGAGATAGGCAAGAAGTAAGGCATGTAGCAACATCAGCACGGCAAAGGGCACTCTTTTAA